CTGATGAAATGGGGTGAGGTTGGGGTGGTATGGGGTGTGGTTGGAGTTGTGGTTTTTCTTTGATCACATTGAGAGACTAGACTGTGCCAAGAATCTAGACTGTGCCCCTTTCCCGGTTACTGCCACTTAGTGATATGGTACTGTTCCTATAGGTAACAAGTGGAATTTCATATTTAAAACAGTACTCCTAGGCCCCAGAGCCTCAGCAGGCCCAGTGCCATCTCAGCCCAGGTTCCATGCTCCTCCCCAGTGGAAGCAGACAGCTACAGCTTTGTTTCCTCCCTGTTAGGCTGGTGCTGGGGGACCAGATACTGGACTAAGAGTCTGACCTAGAGGGATTTGAGTCTCTGTACTTCTGATTTGCTCATGCATGCCAAATAGCAGGGTGTGGGAAGAATATTCAGAAAGCACATAAGTTAACCCTGTCAGCCATGAACCAAAGAGCAACAAGACCAGACAGCGAAGGTAAACAATATGCTCGATGTCTCAGAAGTCACCTGCATGTCCCCTTCTAATGCCTGTCCCTCTCATGCCAATTCACAGATGGGCTGGGGACAGTCATTGAATGCATGTCTGAAGGCCAAGTATGTTTAAGCTGGAGGCACAGAAAGTCAAACCTCCTTAGAGGGAAAGAGCATGGGCTCTGGGAAACCTACTAGATGAGGGTAAAACCAGGCATGTGAGCTCAGGCAAGTTACTTCCGTGCCTCGGCTTTCTTGCCTGTGAAATGAGCTGGTACCGGCTTCCACATGAAGCTCTTGCAAGGAAAAATGAGCTAATGCAGCTAACGGGCTTAGCACTTAGGAAGTACTCAGTAGATGTTACCTGAAATAATGCTACGATCCTGGTCTTTTGACTCAGACTTGGTAAAGAGCATCCTGGTCAGGAATGTTCCCTGGTCCACTTTTGCTTTGAGTTTCAGGTAGCCGGCCTCCTGTCTTCAGTGTGATTGGAAGAAGAACCCCTCTCCCTGGCTGTCCCTTCGGAGGAACTGCTCTTTCCACCTGGAGGCCAGGGGTGAGCCCCCACTGCCCTTGCTGACTCCACTAAACCCCCTCCTGGGGAATCACTGAACAGGTTGAATTATAAAGAGTCAGGCTTGTTTCATTGATTTAAAAGGCAGAACCAATCTGGGATGTGCTCCAGGCTGGGTTGCCTGTGTGGGGTACCAGCTGTCCATCAGCTGGGCATGCAGGCTTGCCAGCCTCCCTGCCCACTGTGTCCTGAGCAGAGGGACTGTGACTTGTTCAGAGGATATGGGGGTGGGGTGGATGAGGTAGGTGAAGGGAGCAGGTTGCAGCCCAGGACTCAGAGGGCCAAACCTAGGGGAACAGAGATGGCACTGGACTGGTAGGGGCCCTGAGTCAGTGATAGATCTGGGAGAGCAGACAGGGTCCTCATTGCTTGGCCCTGGAGGGAGGACAATGAAGTACAGGACACAGGAGAGAAGGGGGGTGGGGAGCGGGGTGCTGGGAGCCCAACCCTACTCTTACAGCCCCTCCCCTTCCTGTCATCCTACAGTCTGCTGGCCACAGATCTGCTGCACAGGCTGGGACTGCTGGTTAGGCCTGGGACACTAGTGGCTGTGGACTGCCCAGCTCGGAGCAGCCCCTCTTTGGTAAGTGGTCGAGCCAGCCTGCATTCACTCTGGGAGCATCCCCTGCCCTCTCTCAGGGCCGGGTAGCTGAGCTAGCCCCACTGGGGGCGCCTGTAGGATGCTCAGGTTGACTCCTCACCCAGGACCCTTGGCATGCCCTTCCCTTTCCTTGCTTTCCTGTGGTTTCCCCCACCCCCCTTCTATGGGCAGAAGGAGCTAAGGGTGGAGGCCCTTGAGGATTGGCTTGGAGGAGCCAGGCCCCCATCTCCCTGGGCTAAGATCTTCTTTGCAGGCCAGTTTACTCTGTGTCAATGAGGATCATTTGACCCATGCCTGGACCCTTGCCCCCAGTGGCCAGGAGCAAACCCTGGGTCCTGGGAAGGGATGCTTCTCAGCAGCCCCTGGATGTCTGTCTCTGCTATGGGTCAGTTGACTCTTAGAGTCTCCAGGAGCCCGAGAAGTCCACATCTGGTCACCCACATCCACAAGCCAGAGGATGCTTGACACAGTGTCCACATATCCTGGCTCAGCTGGCCTGAATGAGTTACTTGCAGCTCACTGATTCATGATGTAAAGGAGTCCTTCCTGCACAGGGACTTGGGGCCAGAAAGAGGCATCTGATATGTTCTTCTTCTCCCTTGGGGTGGCCAGAGTACAGAGAAAAGATGCCCACCTGGGGAGCTGGGTGCTAGCTTGGGAAGAAGATGCTGGTAGGCCCAGGAGATGCTGACAGGGGTGACAGACAGTGGCAGGGCATGGCTTGAGGCAGGAACTGGTCATTCCCTTAGTGCAGGAGTTGGGGGAGTTAGGTTCTTGCACAGTAGAGTCTCTCTATAATCAACTCAGAGCTCCTGACAGGAGGCCTGTGCAGTGATCTGTAGATTAAATCCCAGGAATGTGGAATCAGTTTGTTCAGGTCTCAGAAACTCCCAGGAGTCCCCAGAGAATGGTAAAGTCTAGTGTTGAAGCTGCTTAGGCCTAGGTGAGTGCATGTGAGCACGGGGCAGGGTGCCGGGTGTTTCCCTGGGTTCCCTGGGTTCCCTGGGTACCAGGTCTTCTGAAGGAGCAAGCTAGCACCACTGGCGGGGTGAGGCACCTGACTGCTGGCCGCTTTTGTCCGCAGACCGCCATTGTCCGTAGACGTTGCGCGGTTGAGAAGCAGCCCCATGAAGGTGCCCAGCCATGCAATGTTCCTGGAAGGCGGTCCTCCTGCTTGCCCTGGCCTCCATCGCCATCCAGTACACGGCCATCCGCACCTTCACCGCCAAGTCCTTCCACACCTGTCCGGGGCTGTCGGAGGCAGGGCTGGCGGAGCGCCTGTGCGAGGAGGGCCCCACCTTCGCCTATAACCTCTCCCGCAAGACCCACATCCTCATCTTGGCCACCACGCGTAGTGGCTCCTCCTTCGTGGGCCAGCTCTTCAACCAGCACCTGGACGTCTTCTACCTGTTCGAGCCCCTCTACCACGTCCAGAACACGCTGATCCCCCGCTTCACCCAGGGCAGGAGCCCCGTCGACCGGCGGGTCATGCTGGGCGCCAGCCGCGACCTCCTGAGGAGCCTCTATGACTGTGACCTCTACTACCTGGAGAACTACATTAAGCCGCCGCCCGTCAACCACACCACCGACAGGATCTTCCGCCGCGGGGCCAGCAGGGTGCTCTGCTCGCGGCCGGTGTGTGACCCTCCGGGGCCCGCCGACCTGGTCCTGGAAGAGGGGGACTGCGTGCACAAGTGCGGCCTGCTGAACCTGACGGTGGCGGCTGAGGCCTGTCGCGAGCGCAGCCACGTGGCCATCAAGACGGTGCGGGTGCCCGGGGTTAATGACTTGCGGGCTCTAGTTGAAGACCCCCGGTTAAACCTCAAGGTCATCCAGCTGGTCCGAGACCCTCGGGGCATCCTGGCTTCACGGAGCGAGACCTTCCGCGACACGTACCGGCTGTGGCGGCTGTGGTACGGCACCGGGAGGAAACCCTACAACCTGGACGTGACGCAGCTGACCACGGTGTGCGAGGACTTCGCCCAGTCGGTGTCCACCGGCCTCCTGCGGCCCCCGTGGCTCAAGGGCAAGTACATGTTGGTGCGCTACGAGGACCTGGCCAGGAACCCCATGAAGAAGACTGAGGAGATCTACGGGTTCCTGGGTATCCCCTTGGACGGCCACGTGGCCCGCTGGATCCAGAACAACACGCAGGGCGACCCCGCCTTGGGCAAGCACAAGTACGGCACCGTGCGCAACTCGGCCGCCACCGCCGAGAAGTGGCGCTTCCGTCTCTCCTACGACATTGTGGCCTTTGCCCAGAACGCCTGTCAGCAGGTGCTGGCCCAGCTGGGCTACAAGATGGCCAGCTCGGCGGAGGAGCTGAGGAACCCCTCAGTGAGCCTGGTGGAGGAGCGGGACTTCGGCCCTTTCTCGTGACGCGGGCGCCGTGGCGGGGGTGGGGGGCACCCATGTCGGTTTTGATAAAATGGGCCGTTTTTAACTGTTGCCTTATTTCCTCCTCCCTCTCCCACTGTCTTGGTGTCCTTCCTGCCCCCTGCCCACCCCACTCCCTTCTGCCCTTTTTGTCTTTGAAATTTGCACTATGTCTGGGACGGGAATCACTGGGGCAGAGGGCGCCTGAAGTGGGGTACGCCCCCACCCCACCCCAGTCAGACACGGATGTTGGTTGGGTCTCTACGTGGACAGTGACAATGTTTACAAGCAGCACACTCACACATTCACACACGCACACGGGCCCCCACCGGGAGAGGCACCCCAGCCACACGACTTGTCGAGCTTTTGGAATGGACGGATGGTGGGGGACTGTCGTTTTTGCACTGTCTTATTTCTACAAGGTAAGAGGACAAGAGCGAAAGGACCACCTCTCTCTAACTTATGAATGGTGTCTGTCCCTTCCCCAGCCCTGCTTTCTGCCTCTGACACCCGTTTTTCCCCTTAGAGCAGAGAAACTGCCCCCTCCTGCCCGCCCTTGCCTGTGGTGAGCAGGTTTTTACTGTGAGGTGAACGTGGACCGTGTTTATTTTTCCTAGTCTGTGGCGATGCTGTCTGTCTGTCTGAGTCTTGTGGCTGCCCCTGGACCAGGGATGACTGATGAATCTTATGAGTTTCTGATTGATCTTGGGGTCCATCTGTGATATTTCTTTGTGCCAAAAAAAAAAAAAAAAGAAAAGAAAAAAGTGGATCAATTTGCTAAACAAACATTGAAATACTTAATCAGTGTTTTCTGTAAATAAAAGAGTGCAATGATATCTGGGTGTGACTGTGGGACATTCTGAATGGGTGACAGCAGGCTTGGGTGGGGTTTGGGTATTTCAGGCTTTGGGGAAGAGAGCCAGAAAGAGGTGGAGGTGGGAATTAAATGACAAGTCTGACTCTTGGAACTCTTGTGACCCTTGTCACTCTTGACACTGAGTTTGGGGTTTCATTTCCCTTCAGTCAGTTGAAGGGAAATACTGTACCTTATAGCCAGGAGTGATGTTCACAATATTTAACCAGTGGTAAGGCTTGCCAAATCATAATGGCCGGAGGTAAGGATGAGATCTTGGGACACCTTCCTGGGCCAGATGTTACCTTCTTAGTTGGTGGGTCTGGGGACAGGATAGCTGGAGAGGGGAAAAATTTAAGGACTGGGGTGGTTCGGGGCAGTGGCTGCTTATCTACCAGCCTGGAAGTATTTTAGTATTTTAACAACTGGTGCAAGTTTACTGGTGTCTACACTGGCGGACTACCTTCCATGCTTACTTCCCTTTCCCATCCTTGGCAATCCCATCCTTAGCAGGTTCCTCCAAACAGCTTTCCCAGCTTTTATTCCAGGAAAGTAGCTGGTCCCTAGGGTGGCTGGAGCTCACAGCTTTGTTGTCCTGGGACAATGGAAGTGCCTGGTCAATTGGAAGAAGGGCTTCCTGAGGAAACCCTTCAGTCCTGGGCTATGTGAGTCAGGAGGATGTAGATCCAGCAGCTATAGAAAATGCCTTACATAATAGTAGCTTAATGAGATAGGCTATTTTCTCTTTTCATTTTCTTATTGTGGTGAAATACACATAAAAGTTACCATCTTGACTGTTTTTAAGTGTATCGTTCATTAAATACATTCATAATGGTGTGCAAGCATCACCACCATCCACCTCCATAACTCTTTTCATCTTGTAAAATGGAAACTCTATACCCATTGAACAGTAATGCCTCATTCCCTTATTTCACTTAGCATAATGTCCTTAAATTTTATCCATGTTGTAGCATATGTCAGAATCTCCCTCCTTTTAAGGCTGAATAATATTCCATTGTATGTATAGACCACATTTTGCTTATCTATTCATCCTTCGATGGATGCTTGTGTTGCTTCCATGTTTCAGCTATTGTGAATAATGCTGCTGTGAACATGGGTGTACAAATATCTGAGATCCTACTTTCAATTCATTTGGGTATATACTCAGAAGTGGAATTTCTGGATCATATGGCAATTCTATTTTTAATTTTTTGAGGAATTGCCATACCGTTTTCCACAGTGGCTGTATCATTTAACTGTCCCACAAACAGTGCACAAGAGTTCCAATTTCTCTGCATCCTCACCAACACTTATTTTTTCTTTTTTTTCTCTCTCTCACCTATGGAGAAGGGTGACAAGATTGTTCCCTGTTGAGGGGGAGGCTGTCGCAAAGGCACAGAGTGGGGATGGCAAGGGGCATTTGCAGCTGTGCAGACTGTGGGCAGGGATGTGTGGGGTAGACCATTCCCCAATCCTTCCCTTTGCTTCTCAAGCTTGGAAATTTTGCCAGCTCTCCGAGGGCAGTTCAGCCTTCAGGGGATTTATTTATGATGACAAAGCCCATGAGATGGAACTGGAAACCACAGGGCTTGCCTGCTTTTACAATAAAGCCCAAACTCTTACATTGCTCTTCGAAGCCCCCGCACGCACTGGCCCCTGCCCACCTCAGCTTCATCCTGTGCATGCTGCCCCTTCAGTCTTCACTCTCCAGTGTTCCCTATTGTCTTCTCTTCCTTGAACACACTGTGGGAGGTTCAAGCAAATGGCCTTGCTTTGGTCAACAGGATAATAGCAAGTGCAGAGGTGTGAAGTGTGCTTGAGCTTTGGAGCTTGTTCTTTCTTGCTGCCTCTTGGAAGCCTTCAGCTGCCATTGAAGGAAGCCCAGGGTAGCTTACTGGAGGATGAAAGAGCACAAGGCGAAGAACCCAGGGGCTGGGACTCCTGCAGTCAGTGCCTCACTGACTTGGCAACTGATGGAGATGCCTCTGTGAGCCAAGCCAAGACCAGCTGCAATCTGGTCCAGAGGGTTGAAGCCGCCTAGCTGAGCCCAGCCAAATTTCTCACCCACAACTTTGTGGGTTAAAAAAATGGTGGTTGTTTTAAGTCAATAAATTTTGGAGTGACTTATTATGCAGCAAAAGCTAACCGATATGCATGCCATTCTCTGTCCATGGCAGAGTCTTTGCACACATTGTTCCTTATGCCTGGGTTGCTCCTATCCCCTCTTTACCTAGTTAATGTCTGCTCATTCTCTAGATTGCAGCTTAAATATCAATACTTCCTTGGTCTTACCCGATTAGTTCAGTTATCCTGATTGTTGGCCCTTGCATAGCTGATTGTCCATCGTATATATCCCGATTATAGGCTCTTATAGCACTGTGTACATCTCTTTCATAGTGCTTAACACAGTTGCAATCACACTTTTTAATCACAGGACCTGGCACACCATAAGTGTCCAATAAATACTGGTTGAATGAATAAAAGAATGAATGAAACAGGTGTTCCCCACTGATAAGAGAGCCTGCCTGTCCAGGGCCTTCTCTTGGGAGTGGGCGAGTCCTCTGAGGGACCAGAATGCGACCCGAGGCAGCTGATGTCTCCCAGCCTGTTGCCGACACGTTATGGGAGGCTGAGCTGAGCTTTGTTCCAGGAATCCACATCCTTCCCCCGTAGTCAACAGTTCTGACTCTACACGCCAACACTGTGCTCCTATTTCTTTGTCACAATGCTGTCGCCTGCCTTGACACTTGTTAAAATTTCCGGGGCTAATGCTCTGAAGGAGAATAACAGTGAACAAATGCGTACAGAATTTCACAGTTTACAAAGCATCCTCCCCCACTGGTCTCCCCTCCAAAGGGGCTGTTTCCTGCTGACACAGAGGCCTCTCTTTCTAGCCAGGAAGTGGTGGTCAGAGAGCCGTGCAGGTAGGACTGGCCCCTGCCCTGCGTCCCCTTCTGTGTGTAGTGTCTTGATGGCTTAGGTCTTGGGGAGTAAAGGAGTAACTTCCTGTTCTTGCCCCCAGACTCAGAGCCCCTGCCACCCATGGGTCTAGGGCTGGGTCCTGTTGTTCCTTTTCATCCCAGACTTCCTGTCTGTGTGTTTCCACCTGCTCGCCCTCGTTTCCCTTCTTGCTGACAACAAACACTCTGGCCTCCCAGCCTCACTTCCCTGGGATTCTGGGGAGCTTGCTCCCCACTTCCGATCATCCCAGAAGGTATTGTCCAGGAACAAACCTCCCCTTCCTGGTTTATCGCCTCCCCAGGAAAACGCTTGCTGGGGAAGGATTTTTCCTTGCTGGAATGCCTTTCTTTGTTGGGAAGAAAAGATACGGGGGTGGGCAGGGAAGCACCTTACCATGTGGTGAGAAAACACACACACTTCTGCTTCCTGAGGGCCGGAAAACAGGTTGGAATCAAGTCCTCCCAGGCAAGTAGCCAAGGCTTGGTTGCACCAGGGTGTCTAGCCGCAGCCACTGGCGGAGTGGTCACCGGGCTGGGCTTCGTGTCTGTGTCTGGGTGTGGGTGGGAGACTAATGCTCAAGTTGGGAATCTGGCTGGCCTGGGGGCCTACAGCCTTCCTGCGCAGGGCAAACACGGGACAGTTACCAAGGCTTCACAGAGCTCTGACGCGCTCCATCTAAACATCAAATCTGCCTTCCTAGTTGCACTTTCTGCTTCTTGGAGCTACACCTGCTGATAACTTGTGATTGAATTGGGTTTTATTCATCTTGGGAACCACTGTGATAAAAAGCATGGTTCTAGGTTCCAGTCCCATCTCTGCCACTTACTTGCTATGTGACCTTGGGCATGTCACTTAACTCTTCTGAGCTCCATGTCCTCCTCTGTGCAGTGTAAATCATCGTATCTAGCTCAGAGGGCTACTATGAAGACTGTGTAAGGTAATGCATTTTAGTGCACAGAATGGGGCTTGACACACAGTGAGTGCTCGATAAATGCTAGTCATCACCACCACCATCATCATCTTCTTATTCATTGTGCCTTCCTGGCTTATCACCTGGAACATGATAGCAGCTCAATGAACATTTGTTGAATGAGTACATTCTCGGTGAGCTCTTCTGATTCGAAATGCTACCAGTACACAAAATTACACCTGAATGAAATAGCACAGCTGTCAGTGTAGTCCTCTTATTAACCATGGTCTAGAGCCAAGGGCTAGCTAGGGGGTGAGAAGCCAGGCACAGCCAGAAATGCCCACAGCATGATCACTAAGCATAGGGACAAGCTAGCCCACCCACAGGACGGTCCCTGCGGGCTCCAGGATGGAGAAGTAACTCTCAGGGGTAGAAGCTGGCTGAGATAACCTGGCATCCTCTGGCCACATTCCCAAGATCGTCTAACTTCCTGGGAAAATGGCTTTCTGGGTACCCCAAGCTAGCCGCTCTTTTTTGCCACTTTTTGCCACTAGGTTGAATGGGCTTGGCCTTTCTGCCCTTTTGAGGAACCTGCATCCCTGCTCCTTTTCCATTCACAAAGGACCGTTTCTAACATGGGAGCCCAGAACATTTTCCTCCTCTGTAAGGGTCAGGGAAGCCCACTGTCTAAGGTATCCAGTGATGAAGGACATAGAGTTTTCTTAAGCTTGGATCTTTCTTAAGCTTCCTGGACTGGGCCTGGGAACAGCCAGCTGGCCACGCCCAACTGCTGGGGGCTTCCTCCCCGGCAAACTCCAGCAGTCCTGCGTGTAGGCAGCAACACCCTCTTCCTGCATTGCTTCCTGCCTTCCACCTCCCTTAGCAACACCTCAGCCTTCAGCAATGTCACCCTGGGTTGGCTTTGGGAAGCTGGGTGTGGTTTGGGTACAACAGCCTTTGCACCAAGTGTTTCAGGAGGCCTTTAGCTGAACAAATGAGAAATCTTTCCAGAGCCTCAATATCCCAGCTATAGCCTGTGGACAATGATGGAAAAGAATGTCTTCTGCGGCAATTGGGTATAGTGGGCTCCATATGTCCATCCAGTCAAGTTGAAGTATTGATCACACAGCCTGTAGCTTTTGTGTCTGGCTTCCTTCACTTAGGTGACTTAAGATTCATCAGGCTGAATGTATCAGTGGTCTGTTTCTTTTTATTGCTGAGTGCTCTTCATTCCTTTGTGTGGATACAAATTTCCACCTGGTATCACTTTCCTTCTGCCTGAAGAACTTTATTTAACATTTCTTAGAGTGCAGGTTGACTGATAATAAGTCCCCCAGATTTTTTCTGAAAGTCTTTATTTTTGTCTTCATTTTTTAAAAAGTATTTTCACTGGATTTAGAATTCCAGTTGATAGTTTTTCTTTCAGCACTTTGAAGATTTTTGCTTCACTGTCTTCTGACTTGTATTGTTTTGATGAGAAGTCTTCTATAATTTCTATCTTATTTTCTTTGTATATAATGTCTTTTCATGGGCCACTCTTAAGATTTTCTCTGTATCACTGATTTTCAGCAATTTTGGTTATGATGTGCTTTGGTGTATTTTTCTTTATCCTGTTTGGTGTTCATTGATTGAGTTTTTTGTATTTCTGTGTTTATAGTTTTCATCAAATTTGGAAAAGTTTCAGCCATTTTTACCTCAAAATTTTTCTGTATCCCTCCCACTCCCCACCTTTAATTACACATATGTTAGATACCTTAACATTGTTTTTACAGGTATTGATGCTCTGTTTATTTTTTTTCCCAGCCTTTTTTGTCTCTGTGCTAAATTTGGATAGTTTCTAGTGCTTTGTTTTCAAGTTGACAGATCTTTTCTTCTTCAATGTCTAATCTGCTGTTAGTCCCATGGAGTGCATTTTTTTATTCTAGTTTGTATTTTTCATCTCTGTATGGTTTTTGGGCCTTTTTATTTTATATCTTCCATTTCGTCCTCATTGTGTTTATGTTCTCCTTTATATCTTTTACCATTTATGATGTTTGAAAGTCCTTGATGACTATTTCTCTGACCTCTGTCATTTCTGGGTATGTTTGTATTGATTAACCTTTTTTTCCTACCTGTTGTAAGTCATATTTACCTGTTTTTGTTTGCATGCCTGCTAATTTTTGATTGAATGCCAAATGTATCAGTCAAGGGCCAAAGAGAGAAACCAGATCAGTAATTTGAATACAATTTAGTATAAAGAATTATTAACTAGCAAAATGTGATTAGTTGCTGAAAAGGGGTAAAAGAGGATTTTAAGGAATACAGAAATAACAAATGCAGGAAGCCCCACCTTTTTTAGGGCTGAGAGGAGAGTACACAAGGCAGGAATGAAGAACTTATCAGAGTCATCTCTCCCCACAGCCCCTACCCTAGGGCTTAGATTCAGACCTCTCTGGAGAGGGTGTGGCTGCTGTGAGAACATCTAGCCTGTCTTTGGAGAAGAAATTTGCCAGAGGGTGTGGCCAGAGCTTTCCATAGCAGCAGTCCACTGGATGACTAGAGGGTGCAGGAGGGCCATAGCTGGTCTATAGGATTTGCTTGTCAAGTGGCCAATAAGTTGGGGTGCCAGTGGGCTAGTGCTGGTCTACAAAAATTGGTCTGTTGGGTTTCTAGAAAACCTATTGAAGAATGAGTGCCACTAGGACTCCTAAATACCATTGATAGCCGGGGAGATAAAACATACCAGAATCAGGAAGAGAAGCTTCTTCCTTAGCAATAGCCTTGCAGTGACACCTCCCTGTGCTCCAGTACCCTTTAAAGACAAAAATCTAACATACCACCAATTAGAAAAGGAGCTATGTTTACGGGATCCAGCTCCAGTATTACAAAACTTGCATTTAGAGGTAAGAGACAATAAATTGTCACACAGATATTATGCATGTCTGTTGCTGAATGCTGGATTTTGTTGGATTCCTTTATAGAGTGTTAGACTTTCTTCTAGCACAAAGTTAAGTTACTTGGGATTCTTTTAATCCTTTCAAGGCTTAATTTAAAAATTAAAAAAAAAATTGTTATGGTGGATCCAAAGCAGAGCTAATTTAGTGCCACCGCTGAATTGTGACCCTTCTAAGGACTCTATCCAATGACCCTTGGATTTCTACTTATGGAAATTTGTGAGAGCTAGGATTGCAGATTCTTCTTCCAAAGAATATTTGTTATTTTGCTTCAGCCAGGCCACTGGGACACCAGCTGGCAGCAACTAATCTAAACTAAATTCTTGGCTTGTGGGGTTTTTGGATCACCCAAGTGGTATGACTTTGAGTTACAAACTTGTAGAAGGGGTGACTGATGGTTCCAAATTGTCAGTAGTTACCTTTTCCATTTTCCACTTAGTGCTTAGTTATAAGACAATCAATTTTCCTTGCAGTAGCCATGAAGGAGAGGCTTCTTAGCATTTCCACTTAGTCCTAAACCTGAGAGTGAACCCTTGCAAGTGTCAGCTATTGGGCAGGAGAAACTCCTATCAGACTCTCTACCTTGGGAAGACCCTGGACTTAGTTAGCTTGTCCTTTAGCCCTAGGACACTAGGAAAACCAAATCTCTCTTTCACAGGGTTCAGTAAATGCCCTCTGGGAAAACATCAGCTGCTTCTTTCCTGTTACCTTTCTGGTTCCTGCCTTCATTGAATTTTTTTTTTTTTACTTTACACATTATTTATTTTTTTGCCAGGTTATCTCATATTTAAGAAGACTTTTTATTATTTTGTCCAGATGTTTTAGTTGTTTCAGTAGAGGACTATTCTAAGTATCTAGCACTTTGTATTACCAAAAATGGGAGTAGTGAGGTCACACTTCGTTTTCTTCCCCATTACTTAGCATGTAGCACGTAGTAGATTCTCAGACACTATTTGGTAAATAAAAGAATGAAAGAGAGAAGGGTCCACAGGCCAGTAGCACCCAGATCACCTGGGAGCTTGTTAGAGATGTAGAATTTGGGGCCTGAATCTACTGATTCAGAATATTCATTTTAAATAAGGTACCCAGGTTATTCATGTGCACATGAAAGTTTGAGAAACATTGCTCTGACCCAGAAATTTCTAATATGTGTGTGCTGTGAATAGGTTACAGGTGTGTAATGAGTGGGTTATGGGTATGCAGCAAGGAACTGATTCTTACAGCCTTCAGGTGGCCACGTAGGATTTTCCCAGTTTAGTGCTAAGTGAATCACATCCCTAGAAACCTCTCAGTCTCAGGCAGACTGGGATGGTTGGTGTCCTTACCAGATGGGGCTAAGGTGTCCTGGTCTCTCAGAGGGGAGCAGAGCAGGTCCTGAGGTCCCAGTAGGCTTTGTGATGAGGAGCCACATCTGGTACCACATTGGACTGAACATGGCTAAGGAGGTGTTTTGGCACCTGAACACTTGTGTCAGCAGCCAGCTGCAGAGTACGGTGCTCCCTGTGTGGGCAAGGAACTGCCAGAGGAATTCATGTTCCAAGTGTCCTGGAAGCGTGGTGCCCAGTCCAGTGTGGGCCATCATGAAGGGGGTAACAGGGAAACTGGGTAGTGTCTCTAGGGTGGAGCAGCTTAGGAGAAGCCTCCAAATCCCTGTCTTTC